TTTTTGTCTATTCTCTTTCTAACAGCGGACGTGCCTGCCAAACAGCGCACGTGCCTGCCAAACTGAAAAGCATGATGGCGGCAGTGTTTGACAGGCACGTTCGACGATGCGAACGGCAATGGAAGGTAAGAAATGGAAGATGGATGACATGAGAATGAAAGAATTATGAAATAGCAGAATGTCGAACCAAAACGAATTTCAAAAATCTGACAATGCGAATGACGTCAAAATGAAAGAAATGCAAAATACCGAAATGTCGAAACAGAAGAAATAGATGACAGGCACGTGTTCAAGGGTTTCGTGCAACAAAAAGAGTAGTTGTGTTGCGCCATTCAATATTAAAAAAAAGTAATGTGGTTAAATACGCTTTTCTATTAAGTTGAAAAATTACATATTTCGCCAGCCAAAAAGTGTATAAATAAATATATAGCATATTGCTATAAGATTTATTTATAAAAACGGTACATGCTTATGACCTTATTCATAAAAAAGAAAATAGATGTAAAGTAACATTAAAAAAATCGATTTGCTTACTTTTTAAGAATTTGGGAAAAACATTTAACTAAAGTTTTTGTGCACCCATCTCTTTTTCTGTTTATTATTTTCAAATTGTTCTTTTCCTTAATACTCATTGAGTTTTCATTTACACCCAGCAAAAATCAAAATATTTTATAAGAAATTTGTTGACCGTTTCTCGCACACTTCTCTCATGCTTTTTTATCGTAGTTATTATTCTGTTGACATCTAAATTGCCATAAATTTTATGTTGTTGCCAATACATTGTTTTCCGGCGTTTCCTCTGTGAACTTTTATAACTACATTCATAAAAATATTACTAATTTTGGTTTATAATTTTTTTCCATCTTTTTATTGCTGAATGCGTGGTTTCTCACGTAAGCATATTTCTTACGCCTAAGTAATTTTGTGTTTTGTGTCTATATTTCTACATATTATATGCTACATCGCACCGCAATCTTCCAAAAATTTAATTAACAGTATTTTGCACATACGTATTTACATATAAATATTTACCTTCCTAACTATTCTTCTGCTTAATTTCCACACATTACAAAGTTTTCCGCGCATTAATTGTTTGCCTCAAGCACGTCTCCATGCTGTGCGAAAAGATGCAATTTCACGCCGGTTCTACTTTCAGTGATAATCTGTTTAGTGCAGGGACCAAACATAACAGTTATTGATGATAGCTGTCATTGAAAAATTCACTATGAAGGAAATGTTCTATAACTAAATGATACATACCAATCGACTTTTATAACTATTATTTAAGACATATTATTTTAAAATAAAAAATAACTGCAGATTTTTTAGATAGAAATCAAAAATAATTGTTATTTTGGATTTATAAAATAAAAATCAGAAAAAATGTTATTCAAGGAGTAATTAAATAACAGTCAAAAATTAATTGCTAAAGAATGATTTTTTTAATAAAAGTTGTAGCTGTTACGGTCGCTGGTTTAGTGTCTGCATTTTATCTCGATAAAAGCCTTTCAAATAACTGTTTATAGCTTTAAGCTTTTTCAGTTCGCTGTGGTTGTTGCATCAATTAATTTTTACTTTAGTTTAGAAAATAGGAGATGCTTAAAAATATTTTTAAACAAACAATCGATTCCTTGCTTAAAATTATGCTAGCGGAATAGCTTTAAGGTCCACATCTACGCAATAGTCACATCAAACGAAGATACTTTGAAGCAACTTTGTACAATGGCAAATTATACAGTGACGCATTTTTAGGATTTTTGATTAGTTGCGCTAAATTATTGGCAAACAGTGGTACAAATTAAATTATATTGCAATTAATTTTATGTGTTGGCTTCAAACTTCCTTGTCCTTGTTTTAAGAGACACCTAGTAAAATATTTATAAAGACTTATTTTTTCTTAGAACATTTTTACCTTTTAACTCCAACATAGTGGGTCTTTTTGAACCTGATACGGTGTTTACATGAGGCGATTTTACAGGTAACTTTTAGTTGAAAACAACAATCGCCCGGTGTGAATGGACTTTCAACTAAATAATCGCTTCCAATGAAATTGCCTCTAAAATATCTTGGTAAATCGCCTCATGTGAACACCGTAATACTTTGAAGCTGGATTATACAATTTCTTTGAAAAATCAGAAATTTTAAGCAGCGAAATTTACTATCGGTCACCAAAGATAAAAAATTCGCCGATTAGATGAAACTTTATCTATATTTTCACTAGGGTCAAGAGAACAAATATATGGGTACTCCGGGCTTCAGAGACTTACGGCAAAGTTTAGTGAGCAAATTTTTTGTAAAAAATTTACGACTTACACTCCGTTCATTTAAAATGTTTGGCCCTTATTCAAAAATTTAATTAGATATGGAAGTAAGAGCACTAAAAGGAAATTTGACCTCTGGTCTCCGAAGAAAAATAATTCGATGTTTAAAGATAAAAGCGTTATGCGACTTTATCGATGAAATTTTTTCATAGTTTCCTTAAAAAAATAAAGCTTATCATAACTATATGATGCCTACGTATTGACATATTCGACCGTTTATTTTTTTATTACTTTTTATAAAATCATAGGTCACTATATAACAAAATCACAGCATTTTACCAAATTTTTTACATATGACTTTCGTTTATTTTCCGCCTAATTCTGTGTTTTCTTGATAAATTATTTGTAAAGAAATGTTATCAGGATTTTTATCGAGTAAAAGCTCCTTTCGCATTCTGTGTCAATATTTATAAAATAAAAAAGTTTACTGCCGAGAATATTTGTGAGGAGGGTTGCCACCTCTTTGAAAAATGTTATTCAAATAAATTAATAAAATAAATTAAATATTGCAATACGGGTACCAAACCAAAGATAAAGATAAATAAATAATTGGCTATTATTATTGGGAATCTCCTAAAGAGAAACAAAGTTTTGCGATCGATTTATATTGCCATTTAAAATATATGGGGAACTTTGAGCACTCGAGCGACCTCAAAATTTTTTTGATTTAAAAAAAAAATAGAGGTATATTTTTTCGGTATAGAATATTCCTAGAGGGTGAGAGCAGAAAAACTCTAATATTACTTTTTCACATGCATTTTTGGACCACCCTAATATACATACATACATATGTATATGCAAACATACTGACCTCCCCTCTCACTAAGTTATTCAGGCAACGTTTTTAGTTTATTTCAGATGCGTATATAGTTCAAAATTCGTTCATTAACTTCACGTATTTTCACATGGATAATTTTACCAATTCAAAACCACTAATTTGCGATTTTCAATAACAGTACAAGATCTTGTCACTAACCTCAATGCTCAACAAAATACCTAGAATACAAAAAAAATCATTATAAATTAGAAACAGCTTTAAGTCAACGAGCATGGCGTAAAACTTTTCAAATTATCCCAGTCATAATCCTGTGTAATTCGTTTATTTGCTTTTAAACACTTTCATTGTTTAACAAAATCTTAAACGGATTTCAACTAAGCACCAACAGTTCAATATGTAGTTAGTTATATCTTAAATTTCCGGCAACAAAGCAGGCATTGCAGTGCTTGCTTGTATGTATGTATGCCCACACATACATGCATATCAATGTAAAGTTCAAGAAAACTTTGCTGCCACAGCCACCAAGACACTTCTATTAACTATAAACTAAATATTTACTTTTTCAGAGATTCACACAGCTCCATCTATGATGCACAAAGGCGCCAAAAGCCGCAAGAACTTTTTACGGAAATTTATGTTGCGTATTTCAAAAGCAGCTGGCATGCCGACTGGCTGGCTGTCTTGCTGTCTGGTCACTTTTTTTATTAAATAAATATGTATATACACTTAGCTGGAATTGATTTGACGCCCTTGGCATTTGAGTGAAAATTCAATGTTTTCATTTGGTTGGAAAGGAAAGCAGGAAATATGTACATAGATACATATTTACTTAGTTACATACAAGTATTTTCTTATATTGCTTTGTGTTTATTGTTGATTTTCACTTTTTTGCAATAATAAGCTATGCTGTCTTCGTTCCTTGCATTGAATGCTGCCAAAGGAAAACAAAAGTCAATTTGAAGGATCTGGGCAACTGGTTTAATTCGAATCTGTTTGGGCATGTAGATAAACTCTAGTATTTGCATACTTTGCTTGTTTTGATTTTAGAATACAAAACTCTCTCAAAGAAACAGGATTACAATAGCAACAATTGTATATATTAAGAAAAGAACTAACACCCAAAGCCACTGCAAATGCCAGGGGCAACTGTCCTAAAGTAATGTTTTGCCAATCATTCTAACTGTAACAGAGACTTTGTGTGTTCGGCATAATAAATGGTCAACATGCTCTTCGCATCACTTTCATTTCAAT